CGAGGCCTCCTACCGTCGTCGTCGTCGCCTACTAGAGCGCGTTTATATTTTAAAAAGCTTAAAGAAGAAGGATAATAACTAATATAAATACTAGCTACTTTTTACTTTAACTATAGTAATAGTAGAGGCGCGTATTAAGCTTTTATTAACCTCTTATACTAATACTATAGATATTCGGCTCGTATTATATATACCTTAATACTCCTAGTCGCTACTCTATAGTAAAATCTATATTAATAGACTTAAATAATAGTCCGAAATATATAATAGTAAATACTAAGAAGAATATTTAACGTTACTTACCTAATAGAGACGGTCTAGATACTATAGAGAATTACTAATATAGAGCCGAGTACTAATTAAAGATAGCTATCTAAGAGTATATTAGGCAGAGAGTAAGGCTTTAGTTCCTATATAAGGTAATATATAGTATAACGACCTCCGGCAACTAGGTAATAAGTTTCGGGCTATTCTTCCTATCGCGTTCTCGCAGTTTCAAATTCTCAGATTTTGGCCTAATTTGGCCTAATGCACTAGCCTATCTAATGCACTAGCTTATCGAACACGTTCGTGCTATAAGCGGAACGGAGCGTTCTCGCCTAGTAACTCCTGCCGCGACAGCATAGATTATGGAGCAAGAGATTGCAAAAGTGTCCGCCATTCCAAGTATTCGCTGCATCTAATACCTTGCGCAGTGGGGAATATTTGCGACCCCCCGGGGTTCCAGATCGGCGCTGACAGGCCAACCACAACTTCACGACCATTCCATTTAGTACAGTTTGACACTTCGTAGGTTAATGTGACCCAGGTGCGGATTTCATACGGAGAACGCTTCCTGACACCTCAGAAATCAACCATGAGTCGCGACCCGGCGAAAAGAAGCTCCTCTCTATGTCTTCCTGGTCCTCCGTGTCAGAGAAATGCTCGAAGCGCGACTTGAGTATCCTACGCCAGAGGGAAGCGGTTCAAAATTCCCGCTCCAACAACGGCGCGTTTACTGCAACGGAGCTATTCTTGACCGGATCGCCCCTCCATCCTGCCAGCACAATCAACTTCGCCCACCTACGAGAGACTGACCAGATATCGTCGTCATGGCAGCTATTTCCCTGGATGAGAAAGCAGTGTACTTAGTGATTGCCTCTCCGATGCCCTTGTTCCATAACCAGCTCCTCAATGTTCGTTTGGGTGGCGGTGTAGGGATATAACCGTCCAAACGAGGTGTACCTGTAAGGGTCTATGCAGACGTTATTCACAGAACGCTAGCCTCTCTAGATACAAGATTGCAAAGCTGGGGAATCGAGAGGAAGGCGATATCCCAGTCCTTATATACTATGTCCACAAACCACATCGAACCGAATCGAATCGAAAGTCAAAGGTCAGTGCATGACATGGGGGTCTGGTCTAGCTACAGGCACAGCCTGAGCCTCAGGCATGGCCTATGACAGACTGGCCCTTCACATGCATCAGAGCTAGCTTGATCCAACCGCACAAGGTAATACGTCCGCGTGAATGGAGCTGCCTAGCGAACTTGTGCAGTAGCGCGATCGGGGCAATTGGACCGTTATGCACGCCTCACCCGATGCTGCACTACTGTGCTCACCAGCATCGGGTCTGGTGAGGCTGACTGCGAATTAAAAGGTGGTGAAAGCATGCAGGACGACAGTATAACGAACTCGCTCTCCTTGAGTGGCATTCCTGACCTGTCAGCTTGAACTCGTGCCGCCTTGCAAGATAAGCGGCTTGTAAGACCTGCAGTGGGGTCCTGTGCTCTAACTCGATGGGGAGCGATTCCATGAGGCAGCAGCATGGTTGCATCGCGAGTTCAACAGCTATCGCCGGACCGCGGGGGAGGTTGTGTCCTCTTTGGTTGATGATCAGAGTGGGGAAACGCGCCTAGATTTGGCTGGTAAGGTATAAAGCCAGAGGTAGCCAGGAGGGTTGATCGTTCCGATAAATCTGCAGTTATTTAGCTGGCACAAGGAGCGCTTACAGACTTCGGGAAGCCTAATAATTCGCAGGTGTACGTCTTATACCAAGGTTTGTCCCGCTCGTCTCCGAAGGCCTCCATGTGCCCGTTGCTTATGTTCGTTTCATCAGATGTGTACCGTAATCACCTCAACCAGACATTATCGCGGCTGCAACAGAACGGCGGAGCATAGCCGAACATCGCGTGACCTCGTGAAGTGCTCAGCAGCCTTAAGTCGACCTGGCCAGACTTCATGCACTGGCGACGCTCTCAAGTCGTCGTTCGCAGGGTCAACGACGGTACGGGATCAGTGCCCAAACTGCAGGGACGAGGGTTATTCTCAAAGATAGCTGAGAGTGAATGAAGAGTGGATGGGAACGACCACTTCAGAATGCAGAAGAAGCACCTCGACTAGAGCGGTCAGAATGGTGACCTTGTTTTCCTCTGATGTCTATTTATTGCTGCGCCATGCTTCGCTATAATGCAGAACCCGCCGCGAGAACTCTTTGGTAGACTGCCTCGGCTGAATGTGCCCTTAGAAGCCAACAGTCCAAGATGATCTCCGACATCTCGAGTCCAGTAAGGTCTTCGAACTGACGCTGCCTGTGCAGAAAGCGAACCTGATCCGATGGTATATCCTCGTAGGGTCTTTTGCTAGTAAGCACCTCATAGATGCTTGAACCAAGCGCGAAAAGGTCGTCCTCTTCTGTTGCTGGAGTACTCCAATGGCTATTGCCCGGGTCGAAACGTGCTCCTGCAGTACCAGTAGACTGGGACCCATCAATCGAGCTGCATCCGAAGTCCGTGATTTTGAGCTCCAAACGATGGTCTAGGAGCATGTTGTTTGGTGTAAAATCGCAATGAATGATGCCTTGCGTATGTAGCATCGCAAGTCCTTCCGTCATCGCAAGAATCCAAGAGTATCGTAGCGATTTGTCAGTCTGGCCTACGTGTGCTTGCTTTTGAAGATAGTCGCGTAGCGTGCCATTTTCCGCATACTCCATTGTTATTGTCGAGTCATCCGGATGGTACGAGATTAATCGAATAAATCGCCTTCTATAGTTCTCCTTCGACAGAGCCTCTTGAAGTTTGAAGTGGGCGTGTGCCTCTCGCTCCAGATCCGCTTGGCTTTGTTGTGCTCGCCAATCAGGCCAAGGTGATTTTATGACAAGTCCATCGCTCCGAAGCTCAACGATAGCAGACAGGCCTGCACCGAGTACGGCAATGCCTTTGCCGTCGATGACGTTCATCATGGAATTTTGCTTGTTGCGCTTTGCTCTACTATAGGATATCGAGAAGCAAGACGACAGAGAAATGGAAGGGATTTGGCGACGGACAATTAGGGGTTCTCGGCTCGGTCCGACCGCGGCGAACAGCATTTGGCTGCTTCAAATTCCTTCTAAATAATTAGAGATAAACGGTCGAACTAAACTAATTAACGAAGGCTAGTTAAAAACTTTTAAGACTAGAAGACGAGCGAGAAAAGAAGAATAGTAGAACTTCTAGGAAATAGAGAGTATATTACTATATATCTAAAACGTATAGTATCGTATAGTACTATTAACTACTAGAGCCTATATCGAGGCACGTATACCTTAAATATAATAAAGTCTAGAGTAGTAGAAGAAAAGAGAATAGATATAGTAGAGAAGCCTAGAAATAGTATATAATAAATAATAGTAGTAGCTAGTAATAATATACTATAGAGGTAAATACTAGTATAAATAAAGTAAGTAGAAGAGTAAGTAAAATAAGTAGAAGAACGAGCTAAGTAGATAGAAAAGCGAATTAAGAAAATAGAAAAGTAAGTAGAATAAATAGAGAAATAAGTAGAATAAATAGAAAAGAAATTAAAATAGTTAGAGGAATTAGTACTAATAATCGAATAGATTATAACTATTATATAAGAGTATCGAGATATAAATGCGCTCTAGTAGGTAACGACGACGACGGCGGGAGGCCTCGAGGCCTCCTAATACGCGATAATACCTCCCGACTAATACTATAACGCTACGAGTAGAGAAGAGAGCCTAGAAGGAGGAGGTTACGACTCTAACTTCTAGGCGGCCTAAATCTGCCTATAACTACC